ACTTAATCTTCGTGAAAATGTGTTAGCGCCAAATGGGGTATGGGGTACATACAGATGGATGCCATTGCAAGCAAAGTCTACTTCTCCTTCGCGTTGGCAAGCTAAAATTGATAAATCAGGCTCATTAGTATGGGTAGAAGAGATGCCATTGATTAAAGAAAAAAATAGAAGTATCGTTAAAGTAGAATTTGCTTCATTTGACTTAAATGGTTATGAATACTGTTTAAAAAATGACGTGAGCTTAGAATCACAGATATCTCTTACAGAATATTCAGGAACAGATGAAAATGGTCTTAGAGTAATGGGACTTGTTGATAATTTAACTATAAGTAATGAAATTTTACCTGATTCAGATTTCACTTGGATTATTCCTRAAACTTTAAGCTTTGAAGAAGCAGCAACGATTCCCCATGCTTATTTGGCAGCTTTCTGCATTTTGCATTTGGATACTTGGAGGTTTAAACGAATTAAAACTGTATTAATACATTATGGTGCTAGCGACGTAGGACAGGCTCTCATAAATTTATCCTTATTTTATAATTTTRATGTTTACACTACCTACGAAACGGATGCAGAAAAACGAGTGATCGAGTCAATGCGACCATGTTTACCACAGTCTAATATTTTCAATGTTAAAAATTATAAAATTGATAGTATGATTATTACTAAAGGCAAAGGTTTTGATTTTGTAGTTGCTAGCTATTCCATCTTAGACGATATGGAATTTTGTTTGGACATTGTTAAAGATTTTAAACATTTGGTAATGATTTACGATTTTAAAGAGCCTAGTTACAATCCATGTCCACTGTCTAATTTTACACGGTTCATAAGTGTATATAGCTGCTGCTTACAAGACCTTATTAAGTTACCACAAGGAGAAAAGAGAGAATTAGCGGAATTGATGAGAAAAGCTCTACAAACGGGTATAATAAAACCAATTATATCACGAAGAATTATGATTCAAGGAGCAACAGAAGAAGGAAAAATTGAGACTTGTGAACGTTACGGAAAGGTTATTAATTATATATAAAGTTTATCAAATAATACGTTCGATTTGTTGACAATTATGATACGAATGTATTTTATTATAGGTTTTGATACACTTGCAAGAAGAAAAAATAATCTCTAATTTCATTCCTCAACTTTTCTTCCATAGTGATAAATGCTATCTTGTCCTTAACGGTTTCAATATCTTTGGCAAAGTACTGATCGAATGGATGATCGAACAAGGAGCTAGAAAACTAATCATAGTTTCTAATATGTCAATACAAGGTCACGAAAACTCTGTCCTTAAATGGCAAGAAAATGGAGCAACGGTCATTGTCCGACATGAAGTGGACCTAAGCAAAGCCGCAAGCTTTGACAAATTACTGAAAGAAGCTTTTACTATAGGTCAACTTGATGGTATATTCGATCTACAGAGAACGAAGATGGATTCGTCAAGTTCTTCCTCAAAGTACTTCAAAGTTACTCAATTACTTGATAAACATAGCAGAAAGCTATGTTCGTCACGTATGAAATTCTTTATTTTCTCTTCGCTCAACTTGGACGAAGATGGCTTAAGAGACCCTAATATAGAAAAATTATGCACAAAAAGAAAGGAATCTGGCCATCATGGGTTATTTATTTTATTGCCTAATTTTGTAGAAAACACACTAACTGAGACTGAATTCAAAAATGTATATTACACAAAAATGTCATTGYTTTTAAAACGACTAAATGCTATACTCTGCACAGACTCTTCAGTARTCGCTGTTCGTCATATCATTGTAGATAATTCTGTAAATGGCAACGAGAAAAATATTGTTGCTGAAGAGACCGACAAGAAGGTAATTTTTAATTTATTCATTTATTTCATTTTCTAATTTTTATTCCGATTACCTTATGATAATATTACTATTATAATTATTTTAATTATTATTATTACTATTATTATTATTATTATTATTATTATTATTATTATTATCATTAATATGTGTAGGCTTTATATGTCATTAATCATGATTGTGTTTAAAATTATTTAGCAACGAATTGATGAAGGGGATCAACAAAAAGAGGAAATACGCCAATTGGAAAAATATCTTTATAACTATGATTAAAAAATAACGTAAAATTCTTATAGGAATTTTGTAAGTTACATTAAGTATATCTTACCTACGTTTAATCAGTCTTTTCGTTGTTTCTTATTTATATATGTATAGGTATATAAGGTATCTATTTAATTTTAATTGAACGTTATAAGTGTACTTTCGAGATTAAACGAAAAAAATTATATTGTTTTTTGACGTTCATTGCTTTTTTGCCTCTTTTTTTGACTAAAGTTGTTCACTTGTTTCACGAAATATATTTTCCACTGACTTATACGTATATACTCACAACTATGTCCAAATACAAACAAATTTTTAGCGATTGATTACTCTCGAAATGCAGAAGAAAAAATTCAGTCACGTGACATAATGCAACGGAGGATATCAATGTAATGTAAGGTAACTGTTTAATGTCAATGTAACTGTTTAATGAGAAACGAAGTTTGCACATCCCTAAAACTTATTCGTTATGCAAAAAAGAAACTGGTCTAGGAAATAGATGCAAGAATAAGTCTAGAAGAAAGATCAAGAAACAAAGCGAGTAACTTTTACTTTTCTGTTGAATTCTGTATTTCAGTACTTATCTTATGTTTCTTAAAAAATCTGTCTCCTGTATTATTTAATAAATGAATATTCTGCAATTTGTATAATTATTGAAGACGTCATGAAGATTGATCGTTACCAAAAAGTAAAACACCACGAAGTCGTCGATTATAACGCTATGCGCGGGCAAGGTGATTTCAAATTTACGGCATGAAGTCTTCTCTTCCTCTTCCTCTCTTTTTTTTTTCTCAAGCGGTCACCCCATCCAAATTCTAATCGTACTCAAGCGCTGCTTGACTTAAATGATCGAACAGGAACTAGTGCTGTCACCGCACCATCGCCGTTAACGCATGAAGTAATTTGATATAACTCCCTTATATTTAGTGTGGACTGATATCTATATTTTGAAATTTTTGACCAGGATTAGTATACATTTAAATTTCTGTTTAAGTTTTCAAGATGCCTAAAACTAATGCAGAGAGATGTAAAGAATATCGTCTGTGTAGGAAGAAGAATAGGAAAAATAAGAAAAACAAAACGCAAACTTATAAGGAACGTTGTAGAGTGTACAGGCTGCAAAGAAAACTGATTGCCCTAGGATATGAATTGTCTGCGAATGAAATTCTATGTATTCCGTCAACTTCTAATTTACTTTGCGAGCCATCGGCTCAGCCTGCGATTACCGGTAAAAATTTAAATAATTTAAATGTTACAGCAAAAACTAATATTAGTGCTAATTATTTATTTTAAGTTTGTTTGGTCTTTACTTTTTGAAGTTATTTGAAGTTATTTTTTGAAGGTATTTACATTTATTTTACATTTATTCAATACTAAATAATGTGCCAGACGAGGATTTCCTTCAGAATTCATGTAGCACTCAACGTAATAACGATTTATGTACCATTTGAAAAGATTATAAATTCTTAACGTTTATTCGAAATACGCGGCTCAATAATTTTGAGAATATTGGCTATACGTTTTTCAACATATCTTACATCACTCGGGATTCGATTTATTTCCTGCAATGTTATTCGTTCGAATGGTTCTAACATATCTGTTTTGGTACAAAATCTATTAATTTTCGCTTGATTTTTCAGATTATAWTCTGGAATACCTTCAAAAATGTAATCTATTATCTCAATTTTGGAAATCAGAATTATATTTTCAATTATCACTTTTTTGTGAAAATATTCGTAAAATGTTTCATATTTCCTCAAAATTCTTTCTTCGAATACCTTCTGAGCAACCGTGCGGTTTTGCCGATGGCAAAACATATTTCCTAATTCGGTTAACAAATCATCGATGGACATTGTAATATAATTCAATTTAGATGAAAATCATACAAGTCCTTAATCTTTTATTCTCATGCTAATTATCATTCGAACTTGGCTATCATCTAGTCTGTGTGTTGTTCGCAGCACTTCTAATAGCCTTTCCTAATTATCATATTCACCAGTATCTCCTTTGAAAGTACTTAAAAGATCAGCAATGTTTCTTATAACGACCTTTTGTCAACTTTCTAAACAATACTCGCTTTTTTTTATAGGCGCGGACCTATTCCGCGCGCAATATAAAACAACTCCAACACCGTAAATATCGCCGAACAAACGCTATGAACCTTATAGCAAATCCTGTATGGTAACCATAGCCATCTATAAGGTCATGTTTCTTTTAATTTTACATTTATTTCATGCTCTTCTCTTTGTTACTAGTCAAAATCATAGACCAATAATTTTAATTAATCAGACGTAAACTGCTCTAAGTATTAAAATTAATTAACAACAAAACATTTATTTTTATGCTTCATTATTCAATTTTATATTTGAAGAATATATCGTCAAAAAACAAAACATATAAGAAATTCTTAAGAGGAAGAACTATTTTGTAAAGTACTAGATTGTCCTAGTAATTATTTAATACTATATATTATTGTATAATTTTATATTTTATTTAATTTAATGCTACTCTTTTTTAACTGATCTAAAACTACTTCTAGACTGGTCTGAATACAAAAGAAAATATACATTAGCCATGGTTTTCTGTTCTACTTCCCTGATGTTAAATGAAACTTCTTAAATAAACTAATTTCCCTGTTAATAGAATCTGTGTCTAGCGAGGATAGAGCAGATTTCTTGTTCAATTTACATAAAGCGAACCAAGATAATGCAATACTGTAGGTATTAACATACGTTGATGAAAATTTGTAAATAATTATCAACAAGATAATCCGTAAAATAAAATGATTAAAAGGAACTTGGTATCTTTCTTTTTCTTCAGTTTTAGGATAATAAAAGAATGAAAGTATTTGTTAAAAGAGGAAATAGATCTTGAAAAGAATAAACGATGATTAAAAAGGTGAGAATAGTTCATTTCTTATAGTTACAACTTTAATGACTATTCAAATTTCATGTTAATTACTTACGAGATATAGTTAAACGTTGACAATGTAGCCCATGATATTAAACACAACTCGCAAAATTCGAGTATAGAAATTATATCTTTGAGATTCCTAAATGCTGGCCACGAGTTTCTCTCTCTCTCTCTTCCTAAAAAAAAACGAATTTTTAAGACCAGAAAACAAAATGAAGAAAAAAATATTTGAATGAAAGATAATTATACACAAGAAAAACTATATTACCAAAAAGATGAGGAGAACTGTACTGGCTTGATCGTAAGATTGATCACTGTATGAGGTTGTTACCGACGGGTGTTTAGTCAGTAGCAATGTAGTCTTGTTCTCTCTTTATTTCTCTCTCTTTCTCTCTCTCTCATTTTCTCTCTCTTTTTCTTTCTCTTTATCTCTTTTTTCTTCTTTAAAAACAAGGTCGCATAGCTGTCGCGTTTAAAGTGCACGCGATATTGTCGTTGTTTCGTCATCGTCTGTGACGAGATCCGAATATTTATTAAATAGTTCAGTACTATTATATCTACAAAAGTTCCGAACGTGCGATCATATACATGCATTTAAATAAATTTTAACTAAAACTTTCTTTCTCTGCTTTGACGATTATTATTTCTCCTATTTTTTTAAAGTTATTCTTCTTCTGGCGTGTATAGGAAAAAATAATGAGAGCTAATTTTTACAATGCATGCACACCGACTAAAAAATTATCAGGATAAAGTTTCTCAGTATTTACGATGCGATTCAAATAACGACATGAAGTAAGTCGATATATCTCCCTTACATTAAGTGTAGTCTGATATCTATTGTGTATATTCTGAGATGAATATATATTTTCAAATACCATTGCCTTTTTACCACAATTCCTAGTAATGAGAAGCAGCACATTTGTAAATTTAAGTAAAAACAAATTAGGAGCCCTCTTCGATTCCTCTTTTTCTTTAATCGAATACGACAAATAATAATAATAAACAAAATGATTATAATAGAAAAAACGAGGGAGAGAGAGACGACGAGACAAAAATAATACAACGAGAAACGTCACGTTCGCAATGTAAGAAATACCGGAATAAAACAACCGACTACGAACTGTCTACGAATAATTAGATAATTTTCTATTTTGTTAACAACCCTTTATTTATTATTCACTTGTAGAAAGTTATTTTAAACTTTATCACTATCGACACGTTTCCTTGTGCAATTAAAGCGTATCTTGTTAAAAATGGTAAATAGTAACGAGTTATGAAAATCAGTGGTATACGCTTGTATATTTGTATTTGTACATGTACTTGCATAATAACGAAAATCGCTGAATAGAAGGTATAATGAAATACTGTTAATATATTTCTAGCAAATGTGACAGTAATCAAATGAGTAAAGAGAGAGAGAGCGAGGGAGAGAAAAAGAGAGAGAGAGAGAGAGAGAGAGAGAGAGAGAGAGAGAGAGAGAAGGTAGAATCGATCGGAAACGCGAATGTCAATTATTAATTATGTGCCAACATTAACCTCAAGAAAAAAGCTACAACCGCGGAACTCGGGTATGAATAGTTACAGGAAAGGAAAATTTACTTTGACATTGGATGACTTAAAGGGGGTAACCCGTTTGACGGCTGGTTTTTTAAGCATTTTTTAGGAATTTTTGTTGGCGATCAATAGGAAGATAGATTTTAAAAATTTGTATGTTATATTTATTAACATTTCAATAGTTTGTAACAAAATTTTTATGCATAAATCTCAATAAAAACATGAGTTGTACCACTCCAAAGACACCTATATTGAAAAAAAGGTTTTTGAGTGCT